GTTACTCAGTGATGATAGCTGCTCTGTTCTGGGTTTATTAGCAAACACAACTTTACAATGACATGTTCCGCCGTGCCTCTTGTGACAGAACTATTCAATGGGGGGAATTTATCAAAACTGGAGCAGACCAAATCTGGAGCGGATTTGCACTGCGACCAATCAGCTCCAGATTCTGTCTGCTGCAGTTTTGATAAATTGCTTCTCTGAATTCATCTATGATGTGCCTCAGCTGGCATGATGACCTTCAATCGGAATCCAGCCCCCCTCCTCTTCCTCTCTCATTTGTGTCTCTGCTGTCGTCCTTTTGTTTACTTAGGATGCTGTTTCTACTTGGGTATCTGGCCACAGTCAGACCAATGCAATGTAAAGGTGAGAACTGGGCTATTTAGAGTCCACCTAATTCAGGAGTAGCCAAACTCCGGCCCTCCAGCTGTGGTGAAACTACAAATACCATGATGCATCTCTCTCCGGGAGTTATGTCTGGGTGTGAGAATCTTGCAATGCCTCATGGGATTTGTAGTTCCACCAAGCTGGAGGGCCAGCGTTTGGCTACCCCTGACCTAGGGCAAGGGCGTATTAACAATGTGGGAAAAGGGGCAGGCTGACCATTCCACTGAATAATTTGTGCAATTTAGTTGCGCTAGGAGGGGGAAGAACACGCCTAATTACCAGCTGCAACAATGTATATAAGTAATGTTCATAGAAGGCTGGTATGTTGCGCTTGGTGTTGTGTATTCCCGCTAATGTTAATTTCTACGTGTGTGTCATACAATTTGTGATATTTGGATAATTCTAGGTGTTTATGAGTTTAATAATTACTCTGTTGTGAATATTGATAATAAAGATATCCCCTATTCCAATTCTACCATATAATATTTTAAAGTGATGGTGACAATTATGTGAATGCTGTATTCAACTAGGTGCCTAACAAAACTTTAAACCTTATGTTGATGAGTGTTTCTTTTTATCTCTCTCATGTGATTTATAGTGAGAAGTGTTCCAGAGGTTTAATAAACCACACTAATCCAAAAAATGTGTGTTTTAAAAATATATCGAATAGGTATTCAGTGTTACGAGTGCGTTATACACTATTCCTTCTTAATTCCCCGTGTCTCTATGAACCAATTTTATTAACCATCCTTATTGAAAAACGTTATTGTGCAGATAAGTGATCACTTTCTCCCCCACTGGTCCCATTTGTAAATTCTCTGGTTGGCAAGCATGGCAGTCAGGGTCCATGTGTATGTACAGAAAAAGCCTTCAGGAGATCAACAGCACTGAGATGCAACGAAGGATAAAAAAAACAAAAAACAGTATACAAAATAAATAGGCAATTGCTTATGATACACCATGCTTTAGCAAGCTATGCCATTTAGTTAGGGTTTGTTTCTGCTAGGATTCGCTGCTGCAGAGGAACACAAACTCGCTTACAAATATTTATTTCCAATCATTTTTAACCTCCGGCTTGCCATTGTAAAAATACTGCCGTCCGGGAGCGTCCTAGATCTGAGTGGGCGTATTTAAAAGTCCAGTCAGCCACGCCCACTCGCGGATCTCTGCTTCATCAGCTTCTTTGGGGGTTCCTCTGTGACATTAGGGGTCTTGGAGACCCCTGATGTTTCCATAAAGAGGACCTGTCGCATATCTTTGCTATCACATAGGGGGGTTTCTTAGCCTTCTATGTGATAACAATAAAGTTAAGTCACACATGAAAAAGAATAAAAAAAACAATTTTTAAAGTCCCCACCCATACATACACGTTATTAATCTCACGTGCCCCACTCAATATGGCTGCCGCTTGAGTGGGGCAACTCAGAATAATAACATGCTGGATTAGTGTGATCCTAGTTCATTTTATTACTTCATTCCTGTGCTGTATGTGTATAGGCCAATGCTGAACCAGGATTTCCCCTCCTGGTCTAGTGAGGCATTGGTGATGTAGCCAGGGTCTTACCGGTTCTCGCTGGGAAAGCCACATCACCAGTGCCTTCCTTCCAGGGAGATCTAGTTTCTAAACTGCAAGAACCTGTGAGATTATGGGGAAGACAAAGATGACTTTAATGTTGTGTGGTGCATGTGTGAGATCAGGCCTAGTATCTTTTGCAGATTAAATTTAGTTTAATGCAAGTTTATTCTTCACAAAGTCAGGTTTCAGTTTTGTGTGTCTGTTGATGATTTGGTGTTGGTGGCTTCCTGTCCGTCCTTCTTGATTGTTTCTCACCGCCTTTCTCGTAGCAATCTCCACAATGGGAACACAAACAACACAAATTCTGACCAATAACTCTTCAGTGGGATGTTTTGTTTTTTTGTTCCACTTTAATCAGAAGTCTGAGTTATGTGATGGGAACGGTAGCAGAGAAAATCCATTTTTGACAAATGTTTTTATGGCACTGAACTCATTTACACACAGGCCAAGCTGTCCACCAAATGCCAGTGACGAGGCTTGAGACACACTATAACATGGCCAGGGGTGGTTCAACAGTAAAGTAACATTTATGTTTTTAATAAAAACATGAAATAAATGGTGCCAATCGAAAGCTTTCCTTTGGCAACTTGTCCCAAAGACATTTTTAGCATTGTTTATAAGGCAGGAAGTCGCATGATCCTGTTGTATTCTTTCCTGGAAGTCGAGCATTGAAAGCACTCCTAAGCACATTTGACAAGCATGTATGTGCATTTAGTAATCATTACCTTAAAGAATAATGGGAAGTGGAAAATGTTGTGTACCTGTAATGACAGAGACTGGGTGCTGCAATTTCTGATGTACTTCTGAAAATGCTATTTGACTGAAATAGCTGTTCCAGTACTTTGAGTCAGTGACCTGGAATAACTACACAAATCAGAAGCCAAAAGTAATCTGCTTGTTCTAGGTTAATGGATCACTGTGTTGAAGTAAGAGGGCCAGGAAACTAATGTTATGCGGGGAAATCAGCAGTGGGAACCTTGAAATGTTTATAATGTAACCCAGGTTTACTTTAAAGCACACTTGTAAGGGCCCCTTAAAAAATAAGTCAAGGTAGCTGTATTTTTCTTGAAGATGTTTCACTGGTCACCCGACCAGCTTTTTCCACCACATGCTGGTTATAATAGATTATGTGGATTGGAGCAACATTCACCATATTATTCCCAAATAATTTTTGTACAAGTCATTCTGTATTGAGAAAGCTAGTCGGATGGCCAGTGAAACGTCTTCAAGAAAAATACAGCAAGTCCAGTTGCCTTGATTTATTTTTTACAGATATACCATGACCTGGATGAATGAGATCCTTCTCAGACATATAGGCAAGAGGAGCAGCTGCTCCAGGTTGGCAGATTCAGGAGGCTCCTCATAGCCTGGGATGCTCTAAGGAAGGGCATCAGTTTCAGGAGGTCAGAAAAAAATGTATTTTATATATTGGTGGTTTATTGCTTAATGCAGAACTTCTGCCTCACTTATCTCTGCCACTAGTCCTTAAAGGAGAAGTGTTTTTCCCCATAGTTCTCAGTGTAACGGGAGGACACAAACTAGCGTCCTCCCGTTACCCTAAGCTCAGTATACCGCGAGCTGCAGCTCGCGGTATACTGAGACGCCGCACCTGGAGCGGATTCCGACGTAGATGACGGGATCCGCCCAGCTGCGTGAGTGACAGCTGGCTCTGCCTACCTAGAGGCAGAGCCAGCTGTACCCGCCCCCGTCCGTTCCGCCAGTCAGCGCTGGCTGATCGGAGCGGGGAGAGGGGAATCCAGCCCCTCCCCCTGTCACGGCAGAGAGCCATGACAGGATCGAGAGGTGAGGGAACCCGGTATGTGTTCCCTCACCTCCCGATCTACTGAGCCGACCTGTGACAGTCTCATTGTCACAGGTCGGCTTAGAACTATGAGGTGAGTGGAAATCACTCATCTCATAGTTCTCCTTTAATTTAAAATAAAATACACAAACATAAAGTTTACTTCAAAATAAAACTGCATGCACAATTTTTTGCAATCACACTGCACTGGAACGCAGAGCATTGCGGTACCGTGCGTTCCAGTGCAGGCGAGCACACTGTGGCTGGGAGGCGCGTTTTAAATGAATGGCACTGCAATGCACCTCGTGCAGCAGAATTTGTCAGGCCAAAACGGAAAGTGACTTTTTCCCACCTTTTATCATTTTAATTGTATTGTGAGCACACAGCTCAGCCGGGGAATGACAGCTGCCATTGGCAAGATTCCTCAGATTGCAGCTGAATGTAAATACAGCAGGTAGTGGGCTGGTGCAATAGTCAGCCTGCTATTGAGAATTTCAAATTGCAGTAGCCAATAGCAGGTTGGCTACTGCACCCACCCACTGCTTGCTGTGCCCTCCTCCCAGCATGGAGGAGAGAGCTAGGGGATCCAACCAACTAATCGATAATAAGAATAGTTGACAACTATTCTCAATCCATTATGTGTGGATTTATTTTTTCATTTATATAGTAAAAAATAACCCCACCAGTGGAAAAAATGTTAACATAAATTGCAAGGCGATTTTTGACTGACTGGTGAGAACACCCTAACATTTTTCAAGCCCTGCTAATCTGCATGCAGCTGGAGTGAGAAACTCTTAGGGCTTGTTCACACCAAGAGCGTTCCAGGAGCAGAGCAGTTACAGACCGGATCAAAACTGCATCCAATGTAATCCAATGGTATTTTGGGCTCTAGTTCACACCGCAGCATTCAGTTCCAGAGCATGTAAAAAAAAACTGCAGCATGCCCTATTTTACCTGCTTTGGAAGACTTGCAAACGCCCTGGAACGCACTGAAAGCCCATTTTAAACTAAAAAAAAAAAACTGCTCCTGAAGGTGGCAAAACACACTGCACTCCGTGTGCAGAAACTCATGCAGATCTGGTCTGCATTTGGTGTGAACAAGCCCTTATACTGAGAACTCAGAATTTTCCTTCTGCTAACATGATGATGTGTTCAAATAAAAATGTTTTTACAACCTTTTTTTGTGTGTTTACAAAATGATAACTGTATTGCCCTTGTCTGTTTTTTTGTTAGGTTTGTTAGTCATGAGAAAGTTCCTGTTTGTTGGAATAGTTGTTGCTGCAGTACTTCATTTCATACTTCATTTATGTTTTCAAAAGAAAATCTTCTTCACGTAAGTGCCTTCCTGTTTTGTTCTGTATTGTTCTGCACAATTGAAAGCCTTGTTGATACAGCATATGCTTTTTAATTTATATTAAAAATTCAGTTGTAATTGATCTTTTTTCACTGTAAACACTCCAGACTTCCAGGTTCAGAATTGTGCATGCAGGAATACTTTCAAATCTTTTGCATTATCCATATTTCATAATATCCATAAGCCATCTTGTAGCGTATGTTCCTCAGCATATGTAGGAGGTGATGAAAGCTGTGCTGCCGTTTGGGGGAAGTCAGATCATCTTTTTCTCACAGGAAGTTCTTCCAGGAACCATTTTTATCCTTTGCCAGGAGTTGAGTGTGTAATAGGGTGGTTCTGTCCCAACCCTAACCCCCTATCTACTGGCATTTTTTCAATCACTTGTTACTTGCTTTACTAAATGCTGCTATAATATATCTACCTGGGTGACCTTCTTGAAAAGCCACAAGACACATAATTGTGCAAGCGTGCATACATGTACTAGAGGAAACTGCAAATGTGATGCATAATACTGGTAAATTGGCAATCTGCCTCTTGCTGGATCTGTGTACATCCAAGCCAATATAGTGTCCCTAGGCCAGCGGTTCTCAACCTGTGGGTCACAACTCACTGTTGAGGGGGTCGCAGCATCCACTTCTGCTGCGCTAGGTGAGAGGCTCCTCAGGCTCCTCCTAGCGCGTCAGTGTCAGTCAGCGGGAGGACAGCAGAGGCTGTGAATATAAAAGTGCCGCTATACACACTCCCTGGCCGCTGCAGCGACATCTAGTGGCCGGGGAGTGTGTACAGCAGGGCTTTTCTATTCACACCCGCTGCTGCCCTCCTGCCTTCCATACAATGTGAGCTCTGCAGGAGGCGGGCTTCTAAGCAGTGCTGGGGCTGATAAGGCTGCATGGAGACAGAGCAGGCAAGCAGGTAGCAAGGGCTTGGGAGGGCCTGTATTCTTGTGAGTGGGCTTTTTTGTTAGGTTTTTTTTTGCATGCTGGCTGACGAGTGTGCTGGGAAACTTTTTGCTGTTTTACATGTGCACCTTGCTGTAAAGCTGGTAAAAAACTGATGAGTGCGTTTGCCATTTGTTTTGCTTGACTGATTTGGTGCAGTGACGCATGGGGGGTCTCAGCTGCCATTGTGATTTGCGGGGTCCCTTGTGCGTCCCTGTGCCTGTAAGGAGTTTGGGCTTCCTCCTGACAAACCTGCACCCAATTTAATCTTCTGCCCCATGTGCTCCAAGATGGAGACTCTCATAGTTAAGAGTTAGGACCGCACTACACAGAGGTGCCTTGACGTGGCTGTGCGGCTTTCACATATTCTGCAGAAGACGTGTATCTAAACCTCTGCTTTTAACCTTAGTGGTTAGACAGGTTTTTTTTGTGTGCTGGCTGGTGAGTGTGCCTGGAAACTTTGTGCTGCTTCTATTTTTAGTCCCAAGTCCAGCGCCTTACTAATTCTGGAGTCCAGCGCTCCGTTGGGGGTCACCTCAACTTGACAAATGTCACTAAGGGGTCCCGGCCCTAGAGAGGTTGAGAACAACTGCCCTAGGCGCAGATAAACACCTTTTAATGGTAAACAATCACTTAAAATGCACCTACAAAATGTCCAGCTAGAACAGACCATACAACCACAAAAACAATTCTCATCAGCTAACAAGTCTCAAAGACAAGCGTAGCACTTTCCCCAAAAAGTATTTATTGGACGGGATGACTAGAGGATTCATAGGCCACTGCAGTGAAGGGAGAGAGATGCTGAAGGACCGGTTTAGGAGCTGGCGAGCTCAGAGGTTTAGGTGAGTACAGCTTCTTCTTTTTTTTTTTACCCTGGCCAAAAACGATCAGTTAACCCTTGCAGTGTGGCGGTAGTCCCACTGCAAGGGTTAATTACATTTCTGCTGGAGTTCTTCTTTAAGTGTGCTTTTGGGCTTAATGGTCAAATTAACCAGTTGACATCCGCGGTGTTAAACCCCCTTCCCATCCAGGCCATTTTTCAGTATTCAGCGCTGCGGTACTTTAACTGACATTTATTCCGTCATGCAGCGCACACTGGCTTATACTATAGGCAGTTCCTGGCTATAGTATACCTCAAGTTTCTAAAATCCAGAGTAATTTAACTTGGCCCTCAGGTTGACAGGTTTACGCTAAACATATCTAAGACTATAGTTCGTATAAGTCGTTTGGGTTGCTCAGACTGCCCCAGCACTGTTTTAATCAGCCAGGAGTTGGCTGTATGTCAGACCAAATCAAAGATGTTTGGTCGTAACTATTGAAAGCACACAAAAGCTGATTGTTGTCTTTTTAACTTTGCCTCCTGTTCAGTAGTTGAATATTCACTCACAGGTCTCATTCACACCTAGGCGTATTGCATATGCGCGTCTGTCGTTTCGCGGTAAAAAGTCGCGCGACTGTCGTGCGTTTCCGAAGGCTACTTGGCTGCATTCCAATGAAAACGCGCAACAAAACGGCCAAAAGTAGTACCTGTACCTTTTCAGGCGTGGGCCGTTTTGTAGCGCGTTAGGGACCGGCGGAAATACGCCAAGGTGGGAACGAGCCCATTGAATACAATGGGATTTATATTTTTGAGCGTTTTGTAGAGCGTTCGTCGAGCGTAGAACACGCTACAAAACGTTCAGGTGTGAACGAGGGCACATTGTATGTGTTATGAAACAAGCTTTGCTGTCCGTATTGTCTGCTGATTTGCTGTACGCAAGAACTTTTGAAATTCTTTTTGAGCCAAAGATAGTGAGTTTATGTGATCACAGCCAGTGCTATCAGTTGGTTTCAGGCAGTTTGCAGCTTTCTTTGACCCATGCGCAACACTAAAAACCACGCTTTACAAGAATCAATGTGCCTTATGTCAGCATCACTAACATTCTTTCTTACTTTGCTTTAAAAGTACTTGTTATGTGCAGTCTAGTTCTTCATAAGCGGTTAGAAAAGAGGTTTAAAAAGACAGCCTCATGTACATGCAGAATTAACAGCTACATTATCTCACAATAAGATTGCTCACTTTAAAGTGGACCTTTACCCATATCTTCAAAATGACAACAAAGGAACCTTTAGAAATGCTTAGTATGACAATCTACAAACACATACTTCTAGATAATTGCCGGCTTTTTCTTTTTTGCATACCTTATTTTTATTTTCTGCCCCAGTCTTCTGACAGTGGCCATTGGGCAGATTATTCCATCTCCCTTTACTTCCTAGAACATGTGACCATGCACATCATCTCAGGGGAGGAAAATGCCTTTCCCTGAGATCTCATGAAATTACAGATGAGATTTCCCAGCAATGCGCTGCTGATGTAATCTTGCCAGGATGCAACGCTTGGGCACAATTGCAAAATTTGTGCCAAAACTGGACCAGGAAGTAGATGAATTCTATTTGTAAATAAATAAAAAACACATTTGTTTCATTAATGAATGTCATATGATTTTATATCCACATGCAGAACATCAGCATGCTGTTCTGCATGCTGATGTGATTTTTAGTGAAAGGGGGTAACGGTCCACTTTAAGTTGTTAAGTTTGACATATATTGGACTAAAAACTCTAAAGACCCTATTTTCCTTATAAAAACCAATAATTTTATTTAGAAGAAAGTGTGACAATATTTTTTGTCATGGTAGATTAAGAAGTATGGACAGAGACCACAAAGGGAACTCCCCAGAGCTCCTTGAGTGCATAAAGCTATGACCACATTCCTCCTTCCTCTGACCTGCCAGAGTTGGACTAGATGCCGCGTGACATCTTCTGATATTGCCGGAACCTGGAATGGAAAATATTATTTAAAATAGAAGAAGAAAGGGATTTTTTTTTTGTGTGGACGTATTTGTTTTTTTATTACATCTTACACTGCACACGACAGTGAACTGGACCCTAAACTCATTTCACTGGGGTTGGGGTAAATTCCTCCTTGCATTGTAGGTGCCAGAGAGGCCAATGCCCATCCGCATGCCAGGCTTGATGGGCTGGTTAGCTATGGGGAGTGGTGGCAGCTGTGGAGGGTGGCACACAGTTTATTAGTAAAAATTAATATTAAAAGAATCTTTTTTGACTAATTTTTCACCTGTCAAATCTCCTTTAAAAATGGGTGGAAATCACTGCGATATGGACAATTGAATCTTGACTGGTCGGGTAAAGGCAACTTGGCCAGTAACTATTCCTCTGCCAGGAATGATTCAAGGAAGTGACATTTATGATCCGATTCCTCAGAACACAACCAGATTAGGTAGTAATTACCTAGCTTGGAATTTATACTGATCTATACAATTTGGCAGGAAGTGTTGAAAACATTTCCTCGTAATATAACAGCTAATTAATTTATCTCACTATCTTAAGCTGGAACGTCTGCCAAAACAATTTGCAGCTGAATATAAGATCTGCTTTCACCAGAAACAGTTGAGTGCTGTGAAAGCAACCGTCTCAAAGCTCACTGTTGCCGTCGTATCACACTCTTAACCTCACACTTTGCAGAGATTTTCCAGCCTGTGGGACAACAATCTTAGCACTACAAACTGAGAGTGACCGTCACTCGGGTGGTTAACGTCACAGTTGACCCTTTACACATGCACACAATAGCTGCTACCCGGTGTTTTAATGCAAACAAACACTTTTCACAGTATCTGCTGTAATAAAATATAGGCTGTCCATGCCCCCAGAGCCTGTATGTGATTAATCGCTGAAACATCAGACTGAGACTAAACTGTCTGGTTGATGACTGGAGTTTGGGCTGGTCGGTGATGTGTGAGCTGTATCCCTCCGGCAGTTCCCTCCACAAGGATTGGGTTGTGGTGTGTTCTCCCATGCCTTGGACTGGACTGGGCCAGTGGTGACTGCACCTACCACGTTACTTCTGAAGAAGCCCCTTTGAATGGCAAAACGTTTCTAGACTTTGCAACATCTCTTCCACCCTTCAGATATGTATAAAAAGATGTAAATGGGATATTCTTATCCAAGAAACGGTCTGGATATTTCCTGTATATTTCCTATCATCACAAACCATTATATGGATTCAATGGGGGGGGGTTTGCTAATGTAGATGCGGCCTGTACTTTTATTGCATTGTTTTTATCTGTTGTCTACACAGTTATATTGGGCATTTGATCAAATTACTAAATAAAAGAGTTTCAATGCATATGTTATTGTGTACACCTTTAAAGCTCCACCTCCCATTTCTAGTTTTATTGTTAGCATTACTGGGTTGTGGTGTACCAAAACTGTGGGCCCGTTTACTCAGGTTTTTGTCTTACGGTATCTGCTGTAGCAATTCTGGCCGTTAAGAAATATCACTGCCATGCCAGACAGGAAAGTAACAGAGTCTATGTTATGATAGCCTTCTTTAAAGAGGCAAAGATTAGAGCATTTGTAGCTTAACGCTTATAAAATATTGTGTTAAGAAAATGAAGAAAGGTGCAAAATATTTAAAGAAGAATATTACTACTGACTTGGCCGAAATTTGTGCAGTATGTGGCCCTGTTGGCACCCCTCCACTTAACAAAAGTTGCTTTTTCACTTGACTAAGGAGCCAGCCCAGAAATTCGCAGCCAATCACTGGCTGAAAAGGATAGGTGGGAGGGAGGACTTGGCAGGCTGCAGCGCTATGACATTGAAGTGTCAAAACTGCCAATTTGCAGCATACAGAATGTAAGAATTTCCCTGGTTGTAAAGTATAGTAATCCAAACACACAGATGAAATGCATATAATACAAGCTGTTTTACCTGCCAAAGATTTGTATTTGTTTGCCCAGTCCAGAGATATACTCAGCCCTGCCACACAGACAGGGAGATCTCTCTCACTATTAAGAGATATACTGCTATCGCAACCCTGCCACCATCCTGCAGGTTGGACAAGGATGGTTCAGCAGTAGACTGATGAGGTCATCCCTGTGCTCACTTTGCTCTTTCCTCCTGTCAACGTGTTCCTTTTCAGCATATTTGCATCCAACTCACCTCGGCTCCTAGTGCTGCTGCTCTGATTGGCAGTTTGAGTGCTGTACTGCAGTGCTCCCCAACCTTTTTATCGCCGCGGCCCGGTCAACGTTTGATAATTTTACCGCGGCCCGCTGAAGGGGGGGGGGGGTGGAGTAAATAAAATGGAAATAAATTAATGTTCCTTGGGCGGCCCGGTACCATTTGATCCACGGACAGGTACCGGTCCGCGGGCCCGGGGGTTGGGGACCACTGCTGTACAGGAATTACAAGAGAATAATACCTAGGGAAATTTAAGTACTCATCAAAGCTGCATTAAAATAATATGATTTATTGGTACAGAGCTGCATTAATGTTTATCTTTTTTTATGTCTGCTTGGAGTTCAGCTTTAATGATCATGACAAGTTAGTCTATTTCTAAAGCCAAAACTTTGTTCATTTTGTTTTTTAGTTTTGGATAGAGTGGTGAGGGGTTTAGAACCTGATAGATTTATATTGCTGCTTGTGCCCCTGCTAGGGAAATTCACCCTTTTCTCTTTGTACTGATCACCATTATCATTGGGACTGTAAGTGAGGGTAAATATTTTGCGTTATCCCCAAAGCAGGAAATTTTCCAATGGTGATACTTGTTCTAGTGATTGTTCTCACATTTGACATAGTTTTGTTGTTTATAGAAGAGAAAGTGAAGGAAAATCTCCCCAATGGGACACAGATGCAAAGAAATCCTGACCGCGGTTTTATCCATTCCCTACTCTATCCAGCATTAAAAAATTCTCTTTTTTTAGCCTGGATTTCACCTTTAACCAATATATGCTTCTCTCTTTTACTAGATGTAATGCCAAAATGTTTTCCCTTTTTTTCATTTTTTTTTGCCGCTTTGCTGATTTGTCATAGTAATAACAATTATATGTGCAGATCCATTGTGCCCATACAAGAGACTTGCACAGGACTCAAATCATCGACTGCAGACACCGTGAACTATGCACTAAGGTATATGGACAGAGTCCCTCTCATCATGCTCTTTAATTGGAGCCAAACCTATACTTTGTATAACATTTACCAATGGAATTATGCATGCATATTAGTATTCACATCCTAAACACCATGATTCATCTTCATTGATAATACTTAGTTTATTCTTATCTAATCAGTTCATTTATAAAGTGATTCTGCTAACCCGATCTAAGCTGAATAAAACTTCACACTGTATTACATTTGTTTTCTTTTCCTAATATGAGTGGGAAGTGGGATCACACTTTCTGCAAAATTATACTTTGCTTTACAAATCATGATTTTACTTTATTAAATGTATGACATTTTTTAAATATTATTTTTTCACATTTATTATATTTAAAAAAAATCTAAAACTATTTTATGAAATGTCATATTGTGCCTTGTAATTATCCCATTGTCTGCCACATAAATTGATGGGCACCATAATGGGACCTGAGCCAATGTATGGAAGTGTCTGTCAGCCCACATCAACCAATCGGATCTTTATTTGAGGTCAGAAAAAGGCGAAGCTAGTCGATTGCTAGCACAGACACTACTTGTGGAGCATGTTCATTGACACTTTCATACACATTCTAAATGAGCTGATTAAGTGATTTTTTTTATTTTTTTTTTTAAAGCTAAAATCAAGTGATTCATACTTTTAATTACTTTATTTCTCTTAAATGAAGATGCACAGACTTGACAAGTGCAATCACAACCCCCGCCCCCACACACCCCAAAATCAAATTATGCTGTATTACTTCTCAGTGGGGGGAATATATCAAAACTGGAGCAGTTGCCCATAGTAACCAATCAGCTTCTTTCTTTGATTTGTTTAGTGGTGATTAAATACCACCAAAAGAAAGCTCTATGTGTCCCCAAAAAATGATAAAAAATTAATTTCAGTACAGCGCTGCATGCCTGAATAAATGTCTAGTGCTGAATACTCAAAAATGGCCTGGCCAAGTGGTTAAGTTTTGAAAATTAAAGCTAGGCGCCGTTTGGTTGTCATGGCTCCAGATTCTGTCTGCTCCAGTTTTGATAAATGCCCCCCCAGCAATGCATCCTCATATAACCTTCTTATTTTAAACCTGCTGACCGGGTCTGTCCATAGAGCACCTATATACCGGAATGGATCAACTGCAGTAGTCGCTTTACCTGCAATATCTTGCCTTTGGGTCTGGACTGTATGTGCTATGGGTTTCACACTCCTCATGGAAAAGAGTTCAATTGGAATCCTCTTGTTTCTGTAAAATAAAATAAAAAATGTGTTATTGCTTACAACATTCTACATTCATTGCATTATGGGCTCAATTCACTCAATTATAACGCATGTATTATTTACCATATAGGTCATTATTTTCAGCATTTGACGGTTATTTCGAGCTCTCAGTGATTGGGATTGTCTCCATGGCAGATGAGTAGCTTAGTGAAAGGGATTTCATTTACTAAAAACATAACCATAATTTCACCAGCAATTTAAGACTAAACTCCAGGCAGAATTAAAAAAAAATGCCCTTTTATCAAGTTATGCATTAAAGCTCAACTAAGATCCTAAGGAAGATCCCATCTTCAGTTCCGATGAAAGAGTTGAGAAAGTGCTGAGGGATAGGTGAGATGGTTATCTTGGAATTAAATAGCCATCCATCCAGTTTTTGGGTAGTTTTTTTTTTCAACTTGGATTCTGTGCTTTATGGGAAAAACAATCCATTCAAATTTTTTTTTTTTAAATGGTGTGTGTATGTATATGCATGCAACAAGATCCCAGATATTCTACAAATGTAAAAGTTAGATAATAAATTTGTCAATGCTTCTTTCAGGTTTCCAACTGACACAAACACAGAATTCAAGTCTTGTTACAATGCAAAATTCCATCTCATTTTGAAGTAAGTAATCATTGCAGACTCAAATACATTTGCTTAGTCATTTCCAGTTACTAAAAGGTTGTACATGCACATCGCTCATTTTTATAATAAAAAAAAGGTCTGGACTTTTTACTGCAAGCAAAAAACATAGTTAAAATCAGTTTTCGGTTTTTGCACACTGTGAAATCATAAAAATAGCATTAGCACCATGATACTAAGCACAGCATAATGTTTACACACGAATTGTTATGGTAGTCGGTTATATTGAATTCTTCGTAAACCTATTTTTCTGAGGAAACACATGCTAGAATAAGAGAATCAGCATTTTTATATGACACGGCAGGAAATGGGTGTTGAATGATTAACAGGACCATATAGTATATTATTATGAAGGCATATCAGGCTCTGAAGTGATTGCTTTTACTAGAACCACCACTTTTGTTTTCTTGGTTATCTGCAGTTATTTACATGAACTGGGGTGATCTTTCAAATCCTATAACCGCCGTAGAAGAAGCATGGTAAAATGCTTGTTTATGCCGTTTTAAACCTCTTTTTTTTTTTTTATATTTCAGCTAGCTTTGTGTCTTCTGACAGAACTTGCTTTTCATGCTTGGTCAACACATAGTAAAACAGCGAAAAGTTTCCCAGCACACTCACCAGCCACCATGCAAAACAACTTGTCTCACCGCTAAGGTTAAAAACAGAGGTTTAAATACACGTCTTCAGCAGAAAATGTGAAAGCCGCACAGCCTCGCCAAGGCACCTCCATATAGTGCGGTCCTAACTCTAAACTATGAGAGTCTCCATCTTGGAGCACATGTGGCATAATGTGACAAGTTTTTTTGCATGCTGGCTGGTGAGTGTGCTGGGAAACTTTTTGCTCTTGTGTTGTATAAAGCCCTTCCATGTGCACCTTGCTGTAAAGCTGGTTATGAATTGATGAGTGCGTTTGCCATTTGATTTGCTTGGTCAACACATAGGTCATCATCACCATCAACATACTAGGTGCCTGTCTGAAGGAGCTGATAGTGTTTTTGGCCTTCATACCTCGGGGGCCAGTGGGTTGCTATGATAAGAATTCCATCAATTGTTAGCATTGGCTTTTAGGCAAGAATAACCAATGAATTTACCAACAAAGGTTGGTAAATTCATTGCTGGGGTAGCTTTGCGTTTGTATCATAGACACATCCTCGTGTAATCCACATACTCGTTTCCTGTGCACAGGGAGTATAAAAAGGCTGAAGGTTTTAGGGATAGTGTGCACGGCGCACAGACTCAGAAGCAAGAACAGAAAAATGTCTGATGACTGAAAACAGTTTGGAATGTACTTTAGACACATTCACTGACTTATATGGAGGAATAAAAGCAGCAAAACACAATGCCTACCAAAAGCAACAATCAACACAAATGGCTGCTGCTCTATAAACTTCAATTAAACATTCAAACATCGCATTCCATATCCTACAGAAGTGCTTTGCAAACATGACAACACATGATAAAGGACTTATGTTTTATACTTGGGTCCGTTCATACTTTACACAGTTTAGTGCAGTGCAGTGGATTGTATATGTGTGTTGCCATTCATTTTAAATGGCACTGAATGAGCATGAACAAAGCACCAGCTCTGCAGTGCAGTTCCTAATAAAGATAGGCTGTTACAAACACAAAAAGCATTCATTACTGAAGGAACATAATATAGTGCTCACTTCCCTTCTTTGCTGTATTATGTTTATTTCTGAATTATTGGTACACTTTATTATAAAGATTATTCCACTTGTGTATTTGGTATAAAGCATCGTCCTAGCTAGGTTCCCCTCTGCCACATAAAGTCAGGTGGTAGTATATACTGTGCATATCGAGGTACAGATGTGTTAGAACTGTTGCTTTGTACTGACCACAAGCATAAGCATGTGCTGACATTAGTGAGTTATATAGTGCCCCAGCAGCAAATCTTAGCTTCATTGATGTGCTCTGCAGGGCGACGTGTTGTCATCACTGTTCCATGGCAGTGCAGGTTGGGTGAAGTTTCGTGATTCCTAAAGTGTACATATTATGTGCCTCTTAAGCATCATTTCTGGGAGCCTCCATGTAGCTGTTAGATGGGTGAAAATAAAATCCTTTTTGACAATAGTGGCTAACATTCATAGAGTCTTACTGAAACTTCAATAGATTACTATCCTGACCGCTCTGTATGGGACAGCCATGATTGCTGGCTGATCATGTGGAAGGGGATGGGGCCACATAATCTGTGAGTTGTGATACCGGAATTCGCCTCCTTCATTGTGAAATCACATGGGTCTGCCAGGAGACTGTAAGTGGATCTCAGAACCTTTGTGGCATAGTTTAAAGTCTATCAGGGCTATTTTCAAAAGGGTGAAGAGTTTGGGGAAGGCAGGAGAAGTGAGCAATCTAGGACAACATAGCTGATTTGGAAAAATTCTGCAATTCAGCTCACTTTCCAGTTCAGCTATGCTGTCCTAGATTGTTCACTTCTCCTGCCTTCTCCAAACTCTTCACCCTTTTGTGAATAGCCTTGTATAAAACGGACTAGATTGTCATGTGGCTGAGACATTGATATTACTAGACAAGTAAATCTATTTCCCATTTTCACAAAGCCACACATTTGATTGCATTCACACTGTAAAGTTTGCAGCTTTATATGTGGAGTTTATTTACTTTGCATGATCATCTAGGAATGTTCACTTTCGGTTGTGTTAGGTTTTATGACCGCGACAAGCCAATTTAATACCACAAAGATGAAATTGTTCATCTGCCATAATGTGTGAGAGGGCTGTGTGTGTACACTGGGGTTCGTCTTATTACTCATTCATGCATTTGTTCTTCTTTAGTAGTGTTTTCAGCTGACTATCTGTGCCACTCAGCAGTCACTAGTAGTACACTAGGAAGTTGCTATGTGATAACTGTTGTTAGCTTTGGGACGCCTTCATTTCATATAGAGATGAATGCAGACAAATATACATTTTTCACTTTCGTATTTGGTCATCTTGTAGTTTTGGGTTTCAGTGGAATCAATATTTTTTCCAGTTTTCTCCTAATAATCTGACCAGTTTAAGTTTCACTGGTGTTATCCAGGTACTTTATAGAACCCAACTTGTTCCCTGTTGAAGCAAACCTGTGAGCTGTTATAAACATTTAAAACTAAAAGTTCATCCTTAACCACCGGATGTCTTATCTGGCCATTATTAGCCTGCTTTGGCTTCATTTCACTGTATCAGAGATTTGACGTCTTTCCTTAGGCCTGGTTCACACCTGTACGTTTTGTAGCGCGTTCAATGCTCTACGAACGCTCTACAAAACACTCAAACATGAAAATCCCATTGTTTTCTATGGGTATGGTTCACACCTTGCCGTATTTCAGCCCGTCTGAACGTGCTACAAAACGGCCTACGCCTGAAAAGGTACATGAGCTTCTTTGCGGCGTTTTTGTTGCGCGTTTCCATTGGGATACAGCCAAGTAGCCCGTGTTTGTCGCGCAACAATTGCGCATATTCGATACGCCTAGGTGTGAACAGAGCCTAAGCCATTAAAGGGTATCTATGGTCAAAAACTAAAAACAGATCTGTATTTCTATATTGAATGTCCATAAGTTCTATTTTACTCCTAATAATCATATTCATCTAGAAGTTTGTAAACGTATTGATATAGGATGTACTTCCTCAATGCACTGACACAATTTCACTCAGCCCTGTGAATATGCACTTTGTAATGTCACAACTCATAGAACCTGCTGTCTGAACTACAACTCAACATCTGAACGATGTAACATTATAATTGCTTGCTGGAAGCAATGCATGATGGGATATGTGGTTTTGAGAAATCAAGATTGCATCATGTCAAGCAGCAGGGAGAGAGATGCAAAGCACCCTGGGAATCCAGGAAGTTATTGAAAGCGATGGGCAGACAGAAGGCAGCACTCACTACATAACAGGGATTGCTTTAATGTAAGCTTCAATTGCAATATCAAAAACAACTCTAGTGTGTATTCCTATTACAGTGCTGATGTTATAATAGGATAGGATATGCTATGACTTTACAGCTCCTTTAAAGACTCTGTAATTGGACAGGGTGCTGACAAGTGGGTGTCTGACCCTGGTGTAATGGGGGCTATACCCAGTAGATGACAATCTAAAGCAGAGCTGTGTCCTTCAATGAATGAGGAAGAGGGGTTTTATGGTGAGTACAGAAAATGATCTTTTTCCTGAAATATGAGTATGCGTTTGGGAGCTTCTGGTGTTCACCAAAGCCAGTCTGTGACAACTGTTAAAGCAACTTTCTGCCGCACAAGATTTTATAGCAATAGGTTCAGCTATCATGGTATCTGATATATCTATTGATTTGTCTTCAAAGCTAAATATTAGATTCCCACTCACCTTTTTTATGCCTTGCTAGTCTAATCAAATCTGTGCCCGAGTTTCTGTTTGGTAAGCAGGAGGTTCCACTGTGTATATGCTAGCTATAATTTGTTATATATTGTGTTCTGTTGTCAGAATTAATCCTTCGTTTACTCTATAAGGCATGTCAGGTGGAGATATTGAGAACCAGAGCTGGCACACCGCAGGCATATTGTATCTATTAATAATTCTGCCTTTGTGTTTTGGTCTTTGTAGCACGAGCAGTACTGTTTGTGTATAGGAAGGACATTTGTCTGCAAGTGTATATATGCTGTAATTATTAATAATACATCTGTCTTTTGGCATTACCTTAGAGCTAAAAATGATTTTGTGATAAAGCGTTATTTTGATATATAAAACTAGCCCACTGTATAGATTCACTGCCGATGATATTATTCTTTATTTCATTAGAGAGAGACCAATCCAATCAGCCTTGGAGGTGTGCAAACACTATGGTTGGTGGGTCAGAAGGAATCAAAAAGCCCTCCACTATATTACTGCCCTTTCCAAAGAGAACAGCTCTTCATATTATTCCTGTGTAATGTGCTTGCCAATTGTGCATCCAGATCTGTTGGTTAAGGTTAGAGCAGGCACACCAGACTGCTGTAT